CCCTGCGGGAGCCGGTGCCTGGTGCAATGATCGGAGCTGACCGGCCCCTGCTCTCCTGCAGGCAGACCTGGGCCAGGAACGGTCCATGGAGTCCCTCGGGCTGGGCCCTGAATTCCCAGAGCCTGGGGAGGGGGAGGGTCTGACGGGGGCTGGGGGCTGCTTGGGGCACAGCAGAGGGCAGAGGGTTGCTTCTGGCCTTGCCTTCGTGCACGTGGGGCCTGGGCAGCGAGGTGCAATGACAGGCTCATGCATGCTGGCCATTGCCAACTCTGCCGGGGGGGCAAGATATGGGGGGCTTCCACCTGGCATGGAGCCGCGCCTGGGAAGCAAGCGCTGAAAGTGGCATGTGCTGAGGGGTCTCTTGTTCTGCGTCTGTTGCCCATGCTGCCGGGACCTAGCTGGGGTGACTGGGGCGGGCGGGGACCCAGGGGTGCTGTTCCTTGTGATGGTTTCACCCCCAGAAGCTACTTCAGAAAACATCTGTTGCCCGTTTGCTTCCTGTGGCGGAGCAGGGAGCGGGGCGGATTTGACCTGGGAATGTTGCAGGGGAGTTACATTGGGGATGGGGGACTTCCCTTGAAGGAAGCTACCTGAGCTGTAACCGGAGCCAGGAGGGGGGTTGGGAGAAGTGACACCTTCTGCCCGGGAGACTGGACAAAGGAGAGGAGGAGCAGAGGGGAGGGGGGAGAGAGCTGCCGGAGGAGGTTTTGTTTTCAGTCTTGGGCTGGGTGAGGGAACCCCAAGCTGGGGTCTAAGCTCCCTAAACCCCCCACAAGGACTTGATTGAGGGGTTCTGGTTGTACCTACACGCTCTGCTTGGGACTGTGTTCCTGTCATCTAATAAACCTTCTGTTTTACTGGCTGGCTGAGAGTCACGGTGAATCTCAGGAAGAGGGGTGCAGGGTCCTGACTCCCCCACACTCCGTGACACTTCCCAAGCCCTGGGGCTGAGAACTTCCCAGCCCTTCCTGCCCTTGAATTCCATGTAACAAGCTCCCTCCCCGCCCCCCCCCCCCCGGAACTGGCACAGCTGGAGATGCCATGGAGAGGTTTGGTTCATTTACCACCAATCTGGGTCTGCCCGGGGCGTGGGTGTGTTTCTGCAGCTGGGGGTCTCTCTCACCCCCCGCGTCTGTCCTGAATATTGGCCCTACCTGGAATTTAGACATCATGGGCCAAGTGTGTGGCTGGTGCAAGGGAGTGGAGTTAATGGAGCTTACACCAGGGATGTCCTTGGTCCTGTATCACTGAACCCCGGGTGCGAGGATGCTGGGTGTCTGGCTCTAGCATCTCTTCTGCTCACTGTGCAGCTGCTCTGGGGTGGGACCGGGACGGGACCAGCGGATTCTGCTGCAGAAAGGGCCCTTCCCCATTTAACAGGGAGCTTCAGTCAGCTGTCTGCAGCCTTCCCAGGCAAGAGGAAGCGTCTCCCTGCCCTGGAGCGGCCCCCACACTGACTGAGAGGCGCTTGGATCCTTGCTGTGCGGCTCGTATGCACTAGTGCGGCTCGTATGCACTAGTGCGGCTCGTATGCACTAGTGCCCTCGGCTGGGTCCTGAACACGCCATGCTCACACCAGCAAAGATCGACCCAATGAGCTCCGCCACTGGGGCTCCTTAGGGGAGCCTTCCCTTGGCGTGTAAGTTGACAAAGGTCCTGGCAGGTGCATAGGGGCTGCGTGGCTTGGTTGGTTTTGCCACATGAAAGCGAAGGAAGAATCCTGGAGCAGAGGGGTTGCACATGCAGGTCCTTGGACACCAATCATCTTCCCACAGAGCCGCCCTGGCGCTCGGCCTGTGATCTGGTGCGGCTAGCCAGGAAGCTTTGCTTAGTGCTCCTTCAGCCGGAAGGCAAAGCCCTGCAGCGTTTCCCACTAGCTGCTGAGCTGGATCCAGGCGAGCTGCTCGGGGAAGGGGCTTGGCGTGGTTCATTACCGTACAGTGAAATCTTGTGGCTCACTCTCGAGATCAGCTGGAAACTTCCTCCAAGCTGCAAGAACAGCAGGGCGATAAAGGGGAACTGTTCATGTAAAGATGTTGCCTTACTGTCGTGCGCTGCAGGAGGTCTCAGCGCCTGGTCCTTGCTGTCCTGTGTGCTGCTTGCACTTCATTAGTCTTGGACAATGACCGTTCCTCTCTGTCTAATGTGGAGGATGGGCCCTTCGGGTTGTTGCAAGCCGGGTCAGTTTCTCTGCTAGGCTTGGCGTGAGCTGTAGGTGTTTGAGCTGCAAAACACACAGGGGGATGTTGAAATCGGCACAAAAAACTGTCTCCATTGGAAAAACCAAGTCCCTGTGGGAGCATTAGGGGTATAACGTTTGCCCCCGTGGGAAGAGGCTGCCTGAGTTAATTCTCCAGCATCCACGGGGCCAGCGCTGGCCGGGAGTGGACAAGACGCCTGGATGCACATTAAGCTCCATTGCGAGGAGCTGCCTGCGTCAGTCGCGCCAACCTGGCTGTGGTCTCCCGGGGTGGGGTCAGGAGTCTGGCGGTTTCTCTGAAGCATCTGTTCTCTCCGCTCCCAGGTTCCGCTACTACCAGAACGTCTGCACCCAGAGTTACTCCTACGTGTGGTGGGACTGGCCTCGCTGGGAGAGAGAGATCGACTGGATGGCGCTCAACGGCATCAACCTGGCGCTGGCGTTTACTGGGCAGGAGGCTGTTTGGCAGCGGGTTGAGTATTTGATTGGTGTCTCTAGTGAAGTCGTGTTGCATGCAGGGCCCGGCTGGGGCTTTTCAGGAGATTGGGGAGACACGTAAAATGTATTGTCCTGGGACAGCACAGAACCGGTCGCTCTGGAGGGAGGGCTGCCGTCTGGGGGGTGGCCCAGCCCCTCGATGCCTGACTAACATTGGCAGGCTGGGGGGCAGCAGCTGACCAACAGCACAGCTGTCTCTGTTCAGTGTGGCCAGGTAGAACAGCTGTGTGTGCTGAGCCGGGGCTGCAAATGCTGGGCTTGGCCAGAGGGGAGCGTTCCCAGCATTGGGCATGTCCGGGCCGAACGCGCCCTGCGGAGTTGGGTGAGCGTCCTGCTCAGCAGGGCAGGGTCTCCCTGTCGGCAGCAGCTGGGACCCGCAGGAGGGAGCAGCTGACGTTGCTGCCTGTGTTCTTCCCCTCGTTCGCTCCAGGTGTATCTGTCCCTGGGCCTGAACCAGTCTGAAATAGACGAGTACGTCACCGGGCCTGCCTTCCTCGCCTGGAACCGCATGGGGAACCTGCACACCTGGGCGGGGCCCTTGCCCCTGTCCTGGAACCTAAAGCAGCTGTACTTGCAGGTACCTGCGCTTGGCTCATGGCTGGGGCCGGGTCTGTGCGCACCCAGCCTGCATGTTGTGGAGACGCCCCCCTGACAGCGCTCCCTGCCGAGCTCCCAAACGCTGCCGAGCTCAGCGGGCAATGCCAGAGAAGCACGTGGGAGCCAGGGGTGTGGTGCCGCCCTGCTGCCCACAGGATGCAGGGGCCGTGGATAAGCTCCCAGGGGAAGGGCCCTAGGAAACGCTCTGAGACCCTGAACTGATCTGAGTATTGTCTCCATCAGTCCCTCTGGCCTGAGAGCCACTCCTGTGCTGAGCTCCAAGCCGGGCGTCTTTTCCCCTCTGTCTGGTGCCCGTGGGCTCGGAGCTGTGTTCAGGGCTCCGACCGGGGGCTGGAGACTCCAGACAGATACGGTCACGTGGCGCAGGCCTGTCCCTGAGATGGGTGGTGCAGCCCCCTGCGTCTCCCGGCCCATGCGCCCCCTTTATCCGGCTTTTCCTCCTTTCTCCCAGTACAGGATCCTGGAGAGGATGCGGTCGTTGGGAATGATCCCGGTGCTGCCGGCGTTTGCGGGGCACGTCCCCAGGGGCGTCCTGAGGTAGATGCAGATGTGTGAGCGTGTCAGGGTTGGGGCTTGGGCAAGACCAGTTCTCCCTGATGGGCGTCTCTCCCCACCGAATGCGACTCAGCCACATGTGCCTGGAAGCAGCAGAGACCCATGGGACTGACCGCTGTTAGGGATGTAAGCGGTTAACCAGTCAGCATTAGGCTTACCGTTAACCGGACCTTAACTGTGTACCGTGGTGGCCGGCCGGAGCAGCCCCGGCCGTGTCGGGCCGGGTGGGCTGGGGCGGGACCCCAGTCGCAGCCTGGCAGGCAGGTGGGACCCCATCCCCGGCGGGCAGGCAGCTGGAGTGGCCCCAGCCATGCTGGGCTGTTGGGACCCCAGGCCCTGCCACCCCGCACTGGGAACGACCGTGGTTAACGGTTAACTGGCTAAACGATATAATTTTAATGAGTTAACCGGTTACCTTTTTAACGGATATTGACATCCCTAGTCGCTGTCGCACCCCTCTAGGCCAGGTTCCCCAGGCATGCACCCACGTGTAGAGCTCTGCAGTGCTGGGTGGGTTGGGGGAGCCCTACCCCCCGCTCTGACTCCTGGCTGCTGGTCTGTGCCGTAGGGCTTTCCCTCGAATAAACGTCACTCGGCTTGGGAGCTGGAGTAACTTCGACTGCACCTACTCGTGTGCCTACCTCCTGGACCCCGGAGACCCCATGTTCCAAGTGATCGGGACCCTCTTCCTGAAGGAGCTGATCAGAGAGTTCGGCACGGATCACATCTACAACGCGGACACCTTCAATGAGATGAGCCCCCTGTCCTCCGACCCTGCCTACCTCTCGGGGGTCAGCGCTGCCGTCTTCAGATCCATGACCGGAGGTAGGACCCGAGCAGGAACCCGGGCTCTGCCTTGGGGAGCCTTCGCTGCGCAGTCAGGCCTGGGCCTGTGCAGCGAAGGGCTTGGATGGCTCAGGGATGGGGAGCCGGGAACCTTTGGGTCAAGGCTGGTCCGGATTCCTCCCAGCCAGGGCTGCAGCTCCAACCGTCCCCAGGCTGCGCTGACTCGGTGGCCCAGCTGGAACGCGTTGGTCATTTCAGGTTGGTGGATGGGTGGCCAGTCGTGAGGCTCTGGCAGCCTCTGCAGAGGAGGGTCGTGGTGAGGGCTCTGCAGGGCAGGGGCATTAGCGAGACCAGGAGGGCAGTGCCCGGGGGAGCCTGCCTGGGCTGTACGGCTCTGGGGACTGCGGCCACCAGGCCAGGCCCTTTCACACAGTGAGCTCCAGGGGCCGGCAGGGAGGCGGACGCCCTGGGCTGGCACGGCTCAGAGCCAAAGGGCTTTATAGGGAGTGACAGGTGTGGGCGGCTCTGTCATGGGAGGGCAGCGCGTCCTGATGTCACTAGCGGCTCTGTGTGTGTCTGTCCCCAGCCGACCCCGACGCGCTCTGGCTCATGCAGGGCTGGCTCTTCCAGAACCAGCCTGACTTCTGGCAGCCGGCCCAGGTGCGGGCCCTGCTGCGCGGCGTGCCCAGCGGCAGGATGATCGTGCTGGATCTCTTTGCGGAGTCCAAGCCCGTGTACCAGCGGACAGAGTCCTTCTACGGGCAGCCCTTCATCTGGTGCATGCTGCACAACTTCGGCGGCAACCACGGCCTCTTCGGCACGGTGGAGAGCATCAACCGGGGCCCCTTCGACGCCCGGCGCTTCCCCAACTCCAGCCTGGTGGGCACCGGCCTGGCCCCAGAGGGCATCGAGCAGAACGACATGGTCTATGAGCTGATGAGCGAGCTGGGCTGGCGCCAGGAGCCGCTTGACCTCCAGCAGTGGGTTGCCAACTACGCCCAGCGGCGCTACGGCACCAGGAACGCGGAGGCCGCCGGCGCCTGGCAGCTGCTGCTCCGCAGCGTCTACAACTGCTCGGGGCTCTGCGTCAACCACAACCGCAGCCCGCTGGTGCGCCGGCCGTCCCTGCGCATGGCCACGGAGCTGTGGTACAACAAGAGCGACGTCTACGAGGCCTGGCGCCTGCTGCTGGACGCTGCTGCCGAGCTGGGGGCTAGCCCCACCTTCCGCTACGACCTGGTGGACGTGACCCGGCAGGCCGCGCAGCAGCTGGTGAGCGAGTACTACCTGGAGATCAAGCAGGCCTTTCAGAGCCGCTCGCTGCCGGAGCTACTGACCGCCGGCGGGGTGCTGCTGTACGACCTGCTCCCGGACCTGGACGCCCTCCTGGCCAGTGACCCCCACTTCCTGCTGGGCCGCTGGCTGGAGCAGGCTCGTGCCGCAGCCACCAGTGACAAGGAAGCCGAGCTATACGACCTGAACGCCCGCAACCAGGTGACGCTGTGGGGGCCCAGCGGCAACATCTTGGACTACGCCAACAAGCAGCTTGGGGGGCTGGTGCTGGACTATTACCGGGTGCGCTGGAGCCTCTTTGTCTCGGCGCTGGTGGAGAGCCTGAACACCGGCACCCCCTTCCACCAGGAGCAGTTCAACCAGGCCGTCTTCCAGCTGGAGAGGGGTTTCGTCTACAACGGCAAGCGCTACCCCTCCCAGCCGACCGGCGACACGCTGGAGATCGCCAGGAAGATCTTCCTCAAGTATTATCCCCACGCCATGCGGCGCAGCCGGGCGGGGGCTGCGTGAGGGCCGGCGGCTCTGGGACCTTCCGGGGATGGCAGTGGCGTCTCTGCGGCTGGCCCGGTCTCTCCCATGCCGTAGATGCTGGTGCCCCCAGCTTCTGTCCCCCCTCCCAAGCTTCTGCCAGAGCCTGAACCAAGGCCCTGGACCCAAAGGGAAACCGAGCAGGAGCCTTGTGCTGCGTGTGAGCGACGCTGCCGCGTGGGCGGGAGCAGGACCGCGCTGGACCTGCCAGTGCAGCGCAGCGAGCTGGGGAATGAGCTCCCGGGGAAAGGGCTGGAGGGACTGATCCTGCACTGGCCCTCGGGGTGCTGGGATGCTCTGACCTGACCAGTGTCTCCATCGGCTCAGCCTTGCGGCTTGGAGGCTGATCCCAGCGTCTGGGGGAGGCAGCTGGATTGTGGGGCAGAGGGTGGACGAGGCCTGTTGCGGGGGCAGGCGGGACAGAGGGTGAGAATGCTGATCCCTTCGGGGCATGGGATTCGCAGACGGGGGCGGGGACAGACACTGGGATACCATGGTGCTGGGTGCAGACCTGAAATGGGCATATGTGGGTAGTGCCCGCCTTGTAGGTGATGCCCTCGCTGCTATAGGCTGGAAAAAACCAAGTGCAGTTTCCCCACCACTGGCAGCTCCAGGGCTTTGGGAGCTCTCAGAGGAGGGAATCGCTTCAGAACAGGCTGAGGGGCAGGAAATGCAGCGGGACCCTCCCCAGCTCTCGGTCCGGGGAGGGGAGTGTTAACACGCTGCTATTCCGGGCTCTAAAGAACAACAATCAGGAGGCCAGAAAGCTCCAATCCTGCTGCTTTGATGCCATTGCAAAGTGCGCGCTGCAGCCGGCTCCCTGCGTATCGCACTCCCTGCCCAGGGCGAGGAGGAGACGCTGCCTCGCCCGCACCTCCCATCTGTCCCTGGCTAGGGGGTGCTGCCTCAACTTCTCCTGTTCCCCCGAAACTGCCTCCCAGCCCCGAGTGTTGGAGCAGTTCCAAGGGCTGTCCCCACTCTTCTCCCCACATGCCCTCTCTGCTGGTCTCAAATGGGGGCAGATCTGCCCCAGAACAGCGACTCGCCCATGTGGGGTTATTCCTAGTGCCAGGACCTGTCTGGCTGGGGGCCGGCTCCCCACTCCGTACCCCGTGTGCCTTTGTACTAAACAAAAACAGACTTTGGGGATATATTTTTACGAGGACAGTTATATTTTTACACCAGGGACCCCCCACTCGCCCCCCTCCACCCAGAGTGCTCTTCTGGGCCTTGCCCCCTTCCTGCACCAGCACGTGAGCTCCCAAGCAGAGCTGGCATGTGTCTGAATTCCTCCTTGCACCTGGTTCCAGTTGCTGCCAGCCTCTCTGGGGAGCGAGGGCTGCCGCCGGAGCACGGGGCTGGGCTGCAGTGGGACTGTCTGTCTTTTAGCCGAATGATTTTTATACGCTTGTGTACGTTGGTTTGAACTGGCAGCACTTTTCGGAGACTGATGCTCGGACTGTGCCTGCCAATTAAAGACCTGCAATCCGTTCATTTAGCGCCTGGGGTGTCTCTTCCCCATCCCCTCACGGCGTTCTTAGCAGAGGGCGCCGTGCATAGCGGGGCAGGGAGAGTGGCAGCTGTGAATCAGAGCAGGTCTCTGAGAACAGCCAGGGGCTGGCGTTCACAGCTGCAGCAGTCACAACACGGCCGCATCCCGGACAGGCTGTCTGCAGCCAGCCAGCTGTTCTAATGCTGCGGGACTCGGCTCAGAGGGCAGAGCTCTGGGGGCTCCATGCCGGTGGAGTTTGGCTGGAGGTGCCTGGCCAAGGTACCCTTTTGTGGGTCTTAAATGAGCAACTGCAGGGGCCTGGCTTTGGGTGCCCCTGGACCAGTCGCTCCTTCCCTCCAGTTAGGTCCCAGAAGACTGGAGAAAGGTTTGACATTCCCCATCTGTAGAAAGGGGACCAATGACGCGCCAGGGCACTATAGGCCAGTCGGCCCAACTTCGATCCCTGGAAAGGGACTGGAACAAATGACTAAACAATGCATGTGTCAGCACCTGGTGGATGACGAGGGCTAGCCAGCCTGGATTTGCCAAACCAGCTGAATTTCCTTCTTTGGCAGGGTCACTGGCCGAGGGAAGCAGCAGCCGGGCTTTGGTGGCTCCAGGGGGAGGAGTGGAAGCTCCTTCGCTGGGGCGCCGGCGTTAGTGGGGGCTTGGGTGAAATGGTGGCGAGCGCACAGGGAGCGATCCTGCGCTGGCCCTGCCCCTCGGGGAAGGATCAGGCTGAGCCCAGGGGTCTCGGCTGGCCCCAATTCCTACCTATCAACCCCGCACCCCACTGCCCACCATGGCCGCCTGAGGCTGCCACAGCCCTAAGCCCGTGTCCTGGGCCGGGGTGAGGCCATTTGTCACCTCCTGCAAACAGGCTGCCCCTGCCCCACCACACCCCTCCCCGCTCGGCGCCTCAGCCATGGCCTCTCTGCTGGAAGCTTATCTCCCCGAGTGCGGAGAGTGAAGGAAAAGGGAAGCTCTGCTGGGGGTGGAGGAGGGACGGGGAAGAGCCCAGCCTTGAGATAAGAAAGTAGACAAAATAGCGGAGCCCACAGCCCCAGGAACCAGGAGTTGCAGCTGCGTTGGATGCTCTGTCTCCGAGCCGGAGCCAGCGATGGAGAAGACCGTGGTGCTCATTACAGGCTGCTCCTCGGGGATCGGCCTGGGGCTGGCTGTGCGCCTGGCCTCGGACGCCTCCCGCAGGTTTAAAGGTACTGCCAGGGCTTGTGCAGCCGTGAGCGGGAGCTGGTCCTGACCCAGCGGCTGGTGCGCTCCGGTGCAGTGGGCGAACGAGGGGCTGGCAGATGCATGTTCCTTAGCTGGGAAGGAGCTGGGCTCTGCAGCCCCAGGTGATGGGAGCAGCGGCTGTGGGTTGGAGATGGGGATGCTGTGGGGCTGACGGGACACACTCCATTAGGAATACAGGCCCTCTAGGAAAGAATGCTGGGAGCTGGGGTCCAGGCGACTCCCTCCCAAGCAATCTCAGCAGAATGAACTCCCTGGGGCCGGAGGGGCAGATGGTCCTGGGCAGGTCGCAGCCTCGGGGAGAGGAGGTGACTTCGAGCCGTGTGATGTCCGGCAGGACAAGGAGCGCCTGGCGATGAGCTGGCTGGGGCCCTGAGCACTTGGGGGGCAGTAGCTGCTCCTGGTCCATGCAGATGGGGCTCCCTAGAGATCACCCCTTCTGCTGCATCCCAGGAGGTGGGGGAGCCGAGTCACTTGCTCTGAGCCCGCATGGCCCTGGAGGGAGGTGGCCCCTTGGCCGAGCCGGGCCAGGACGAGCCTTCGGTCTAAGGAGAGCGTGGGCTCCAGGTATCTCTGGGGGTGGGGGGGGGACGTTAGGGAGAGACTTGCATGGTGCAATCCGCGGCAAAGCCTTTGTCCCGTAGCAGGAGGGTCTTTGTACTCCCCAGAGTGGGGGGGCTCCCCTGGAGGCAGAGAAGATCCCCCACCAAGTGCCCAGGGGCTGGGGGGGATTGCGATCAGCAAGCTGGGCGCTCGTTCTCTACTAGTCTACGCCACCATGCGCAACCTGGCCAAGAAGGAGCGGCTGCTGGAGTGCGTGCGGGGCTGCCACGCCAGCACCCTGGAGATCCTACAGCTGGATGTCACCGACCCGCTCTCGCTCGCCGCAGCCGCGCAGCAGGTGCAGGAGCAGCGCGTCGACGTGCTGGGTGAGCCAGTCCGGCCAGGCGTGTCTGCGAGCCCAGTGCGCCTCGGCCCTGCGCCAGCTTCCTTCCCGCCCCCCTGAGCCAGCCCTGGGAAGGGGGCCTAGTTCCCAGCCAGCCCTCTGCATCTCCCTGCCTGCTGGGCACCAAGGCAGATCTGTCGTGTGACAGGTCCTGGGGGTTCGCACAGCTCAGACCCCACTCGCCAGCTCCTCGAGGGGCTCCCCCTGGGCCGAGCCTGCAGAGCCACTGAAGGAAAGGGAGGCCCCCGGAGCAGTGGGGGGAGGGCCAGTGTGAGGCCCCCGCCCCCTGACACGTGCGTCTCAGAAGGGGATAATGTCCAGTCCTGCTGCTCCCGCGGTCCCTGGGGTTTGTCATAAAGCCCCAGCACCTGGAGCCCTGTGACTGGGCGAGAATCGCGCTTCTCACTGCGAAAGAGACGGAAGTGTCCAGCCCTGGTGTGGGGGTGGCTGCTGGGATAGGTGAGCCCTAAGGGCTCGGCCCCCAAAGGCCGGTGACCAGAGCCCTGCGCTTCAGATTTCTACGCCAATTTCATGCCGTTTTGGGGGCTGACTCGTTATTTTTGAATGCGTGGGGCTGGCGCTGTGGAGGGCGTGGACCCCAGGGAGCTCCCGTCCCTGCACCCCTCTAATGGCAGCTCCTTGCTGTGCCCCGCCAGTGTGCAATGCCGGGGTGGGGCTGATGGGCCCCCTGGAGACCTGCTCCTTCCAGGCCATGAAGACCATCTTCGACGTGAACGTGTTTGGGACCATTGGCACCATCCAGGCTTTTCTGCCCGGCATGAAGCGTCGCAAGGCCGGCAAGATCATCATTTCCAGCAGCGTGGGGGCGCTGCAAGGTGAGAGACACCCCCCCCCCCGCCCGATGGGGGAGGTTCCTCCCAGGCCAGGCTAAGTCAGCAGCCCCGTGCCTGTGAAACCCAGCGACCCTGCCCTCTCCCCAGGTGCCTGCTCACTGCACAGAGCTGTCTGCCCCTCACTGCAGCCTGGGCCTCGCCCTTCTTCCGGCCATGCATGGCCTCACCGTCCACCAAGGACCCTGCAGAGAACGGGCCCCTCACAATGAGTGACTGCAACAGGAGCCTGTGCAGCTGCTGTGGCTAGGTGGGGATTGGGGAGCAGCTCCCCCCACATGTGCACACACTAGGACAGCCACGCCTGTGTTCTGTGATGCTGCCCACACCCCATGGCCTGTGGGTACCCACGTGGCCTTGCAAATCCCTCCTCCTGGGGGTGAAATGTGGGGCCCAGCATAACATCTGAGCTCGCGGGGGCTGTCTGGGAGGAGCTGGCCAGGCTCCCCCTGCCGGTTCTCACCCGTCCCTCCCGCTGTGCCCTAGGGATCCCCTTCAATGCCGTGTACTGCGCCAGCAAGTTTGCAGTGGAAGGTCTGTGTGAGAGCCTGGCTGTGATCCTCCAGCAGTTCAACGTGCAGTGAGTACCGCCGGGAGCTGGCGGTGAACAGGCCTGAGGCCACGCCAAGTGCTTTACGCCTGTCACTAGCACTCGCTGCCCTGCAGACACCTCGGGGGTGGAACGAGGCAGTTGTAGCCTGGTGCTATTGTGCAGTAGTTTAGGACAGGAAGGGAAGAATAATCCTGCAGCCAATTGATCGTGCAGGGGGAGTTCCAGGCAAGAGGATGGAAGCACCCGAATCGCTGGGGTTCATCCATTCCTGGAGTTTAAGGCAGGAGGGACCGTTAGATTGTCTGGTCTGGCCTCCTGCATGGCACAGGCCAGAGAATTCCCCCCGGTTCCCCCATCCTGAGCCCAAGAGCTGGGGTCTGACTAAAGCATCTGCCAGAAAGGCGCCAGTCAGGACCTGCAGACCCCCGGAGATGGGGAACCCACCACTGCCCTGGGGACCTTGTTCCAGTGGTTAATCACCTGCCCTGTTACAAACCGCAGCCTTATTTCTAACTGGAATTTGTCTGGCTTCGGCTTCCAGCCGCTGGTTCCTGTTCTGCCTTTCTTGGCTAGCTTAGGGAGCCCGTTAGCACCAGGTATTTTCTCCCCGGGAAGGTCCACCCACGGTGTGCTAGTCCCCGCTCAGTCGCTGATCTGGGAAGCTCACCAGCCTGGGCTCGATCGATCCCTCGCTCTGTGCGGCATCATCTCCAGCCCCGGAATCGCTTCTGTGGCTCTTTCCTGTAGCCTCCCCAGCGTCTCCACACGATGCTCGCCCCAGGCCTGCAGGCAGCATTCCAGCACCGCTCACACCGCGGCCGGCTACGGAGGGGAAATCCGGGGGGGCTTGGAGACGTCCAATGTGCCATCACCCTCAGCCCTAGCGTGTAACGGTTGTGATCTCCCTGCTCCCTGCCGCTGGGCCTGTGTCACGGAGTCCCCGGGCGATGCTCTGGAACTGCTCCCCACAAAGCCAGTCAGGACTCTGGGGAGCCTCCTCTCCCTCGGAGCAGACTGTCTTCAGGGCAAGAAGCTCACACGGCTTCACCTCCTGGGTCTGCCCTTGGAGCATTCAGCATATGCCCCTCCGTGCGCTTCCCACAGCGAGTCCGCCCAGGCGGGGTCCTGGGGAAGCCAGAGGGTCTTGCACCCCCACTTCGAGTCAGACGTGACTCTTAGCCAGCCAGTAAAACAGAGGTTTATTAGATGACAGGAACATGGTCTAAAACAGCTTATAGGTACAAAGAACTGGACCCCTCAGCCGGATCGATCCTGGGGTCCCGTGCGCCAGACGCCCCCGTCTTCTGCCCTCACTCCTAGTCCCCAGCCAGCTTCAAACTGAACCCCCCTCCAGCCCCTCCTTTCTGGCCTTTGTCTCTTTCCCGGGCCAGGAGGTCACCTGACCTCTTTGTTCTCTCACACCTTTAGCATCCCCTGGCGGGGGGGGGGGGCCTGGCCATTAGTTGCTAGGTGATAGAGGGTCGGTCAGAAACTGAGGCACCCACACAGTATTCAGAGGAAACATTAAGAACAGTCCCACTTCCTCACAGCCTGTCCCTGTCACACACACACCCCAGGTCCTGGGGGCCATGGGCTCAGAGATGCCATATTGCAGAACTGGCGCAAGATGCCTGGTACCCAGGGCCTGGGGGTGAAAGCCCCTCTGTGCATGCTTGTAGGGTGTCACTCGGGACTCTGCCCCTGTGCGGGGTGGGGCGTGCTGGCTCCGTCTGCACAGGCACCTGCCCCCTGGCAACTCCCTGTCTCTGCTCTCTTCCTGCAGCGTCACGCTGATCGAGTGCGGCCCAGTCAACACGAGCTTCCTGGCCAACCTGCAGCGGACGGACGCCGAGGGCAGTGCACTGCAAGGCCTGGACCCGCAGACCCGCGCCCTGTACAGCCAGTACCTCCAGCATTGCCAGAGCCTCTTCCGCGACGTGGCCCAGGACACCGAGGAGGTCCTGCAGGTCACTCCCAGCTCCCTGCTTCTCTGCCCAGGGGAGCGGGCCAGGGCCAGGGGCTGAGAGCAGCCAGGCTACCGCGGAGCGGTCCCGGCAGAGCGCTATCTAGCCCTGGGGAGAAGAGCCCTGAGTCAGCAGTGATCGGTGCAGCCACCCCCTGACCTCACCCTGCCAGCTGGGGCCTATCCCTGCCCCCCTTTCCCAGAGGAGCATAGGGGCAGGGAGCCCGGCCCAGCCCTCTCTGCCCATAGGGGCCTGAAGTGGGGGCTGCTCCCCGGATAGGGGTGGGGTCCTTACAGCCCCAGGCAGGTCTATGGTCCTGTAATGCTGACGCGGCCCTGCTCTTCCCGTCAGCAACGGGGTCCCCAGCCCCCAAGGGGTCCCCTGTCTTACCACTGGCTTGGAGCTGTCGCTGACACGCCCCCTCTCTGCTTTCCCCAGGTGTTCCTGGAAGCCATCTGCGCCCCCTGCCCCCCTCTGCGCTCTTTCACCACCCAGTTCTTCATGCCGCTCACCCGGCTCAAGCTGACGAGCCCCGACGGCTCGGAGTACGTCCGGGCCATGCACAAGTTCGTGTTCTCTGCGGGCAAGGCCCAGGGCGACCAGGCGTGAGGGGGAGCAGCGCGGCTGTCCCAGAGCGAGGGGCAGGTTCGGCGTGAAGCAGCCCCTGTATTGCCCTGAGTTTGTAGGGGGGCTGTGCTCCCCCCGGAGGGAATACGACCCTGCCACGGAGCTCCAATAAATGTGTCTGCTCCCTGCATGGCTCCTGGCTCCATCCACCCCAGCACTACGCCCTGCCGTCTGCACTGCCCTAGGGGGCTGCTGCAAGGGGGGTATGTGGGATGGAGCTGGGGCAGCGCACACTGCTCAGGTTGTGCCTGCCGTGGGGGTGGAGGGGCTGGGACCCCAGGGCACCTTGTTAAGTGCCACAATTGCTGCGGCGAACTGAAGGGGACTCCGGGCCATGCACCTCCCCAGCAGGCGTGGGAGGCTCATGCTGGCAGTGGGTGGAGGCAAAACCCACCAGCCACTCTAGCCCCCACGGCAGCCTGGGGCAGCGCTGGGCCTTGCGTGGCTGTGGGGGGGTCTGGCACTCCCACCCCTTGCTGCTCAGTATGAGCTGTAGTTTGCTGGTCTCTACGCTAAACCCGGTCCCCAAAAGGCAGTCAGAGAGTCTCCCCTGCCGAGCTGCGGTCCTGCCTTCTGGAGCAGGGCATGAAGACGAGGCCATGCCAGGGCATTTAAAGTGAGGAGCATTTCCACCTGCCAATGCTGCTCGATCTGCCCTGTGCCAGCAGCCGCTGGGCGAGACCTGTTGCCCCGACGGGGGTGTGAGGAATCCCGGCCCTTAGGCATGGCACTGAGCCCAGTGGGCACAGCCGCCTTCACGCGCCAGTCAGCTTGGAGCAGCAGCTCACCAGCGCGAAGCACGCTGCTGGAGGGGCCTCAGCATTAGCTGCTGTCTCCTCTACTCCCTCAGAGCCCCCTGGTCTCTCTGTGCCCCCCCTATGGGAGACCCCCCCCCAGGTTGCAGCAGGGGGCTGGTGCTGCAGGCACCGGTCTCCCCACTGGGCTCGTCCCCCCAGCATGGTGCAGGGCACAGGAGTGGAACGGGGAGGTGTAGAGGGCTGTATTTCATTTCTCCTGAGGGCTGGGCCATATGTGTGGGACTAAACGCTCCTAGCCCCCGCCCCCCCTGGCCGAGCGGGGCTGGCACCCGTGGCTGGTTCGAGGGGAGAAGTGCCCTTTCCGATGCCCCAGAACCAGACTGTCCTGTCCAGCATCAATCTCCCCCCATTAAGCTCCCGCTCTCACTGCTTCTCTCCCTTCTCCAGCCCCCTGTCCTGTGTGTCATTCCTCCTCTCTTCCCTCTGCCCGTCCTCCCCCATGGCAGCTCCCATCTGCCCCCACATGGGCTTCAATCCCCCCCACACCCGCCCCCTCTGCGCCTGGGCTCCGCGATGCTTCTATCGATGTGTCATGGCTGAGATTCAGAGTGAACCACCACACTGAGGGCCACGGGGGAGCTCCCCCCTCGCTGAGCTATTGGTTCAGGCTCTCTGCAGACGCAGGCAGCTGTCATGATTTTCTTCAGCACCAGAAGGGCTAGACGCGCAGGTGCTGCATATGGACCCGTGCCACATCCCGGCACCAAGCGGGTGAGATGCAGCCTGTGGGCGGCGGGACTGGCAGCCCAGCAGGGGTTGATGCTGGAGCTGCCTTCTGTCAGAGGAGCTGTTACAGCCGGGTCCTCACCACACCTGGGCTCTGAAGATCCTGTCAGGCTTCCTCCTGGTGTGGGAGGCCCAGCCCAGCGGCATCAGCTCCTCTCGCACCAAGGCTGGAGCAGTCACTATCGGCTTCCCCGCCTAAGGAATCTGGTGCTGTGCCCTGGGTGCAGAATGGCCGCTTTGCCCCACCCCAGTAGTAGCTGCATCTCTGGAGTCAGTGAAGCACCCGGGGCTCCCGCTGCATGGCAGGGGCTCCGGCAATAGATGCTGCTTGTTACTGGGCATGTGAGACGCAGACGCGTGAGCCCCTGGTTCTGAGATGAGCTCAGAGCGGCTGGCTCGGGCCTGGCCGCTCCATGGGGCTGGGGCTGGGGCTCCTCGTTGTGTGGCTGTGGGGTCAGAAGTGGCTCAGGGAAGGCAGGGGAGGGGCCCAGGGCTCATGTCCTGGGATGATTCAGAATTTACCCCAGTGGGTCCCGCTTCCCGGAGGCCGAGCGACTGTTACCTGGCAGTGGTGCAGGCTGTAGGTCAGCCTGTCACAGGCATCAGAGCAAACACATCAGCAGGCTCGGGGTGCGGGGGTGGGGGCGTTCCCCTGGCAGCCCTGGCCCCTGCGGCTGCAAAGTGGCGGTGGGATGGCTGGGCATTGTTGGCGTGTTCTGCTGCCAGGCAGGAGCGTTAGACCAGCCCCAGGCCGGCACGTGCGGCGGACGGGCGGG